TGTCGATGTGGTAAGCATCATGAACTGATTGTTTCTTTCGGCGAGTGAATTGTTCTGGGGATGTCCTGGAAGCGACTGGTCTAGTGGAATCCGGAGTTCCTTGAGTGCTGATTCGAATTGTGGTGCATCATCCGAGTAAGCGTTGGTGACCTTTCTCTTACCGATATAGTGCTTCATTGCCTGCACCACTTCGTCACTATTGCTTGCTTTCAATGGATAGCCCCATATCACACCAGTGAACCGATCTCGAATCACCAATATGTCCTTATCCGGCATGATCCCATCTCTCGCCATCTTCTGAGTGTTCATGAGATCGAAAGTGATAAGGTCACCGAATGCCTTCAGTTTCCGTTTGAAAGCTCCCTTGCTAGTCTTGTAGTGTTTCATCTTTGCTCTCACACATGACTTGCAGTATGGGTTCTTGTATCGGTGCGTCATCAAGTGCAATATGGATTTCGCCTCGTTCTTCAGCACTCCTGGTTTTGATAGTCTGGCTTCCCCGTCAACCACATCGACTTCCAATAGTCCCTCTTCATCTTCATCAATGTCACTCTCCTCTCGTTCAGAATCCGCATCACCTCCATGTTCGTCGCCTCCGGCTTCTTCAGGTTGACCTTCGTGATCACGATCGAATCTCGGGTCTTCCCCGTCATATTCCTCTTCAGGAGAATACCTGTCATCACCGTGTTCCTCTGGTTCTCCTTCGACGCCTGCAACAGCTGGATTGATATCGGATTCACCATCCTGACCTCTCTGGCTATCTTTCTTCTTTCTCCTCCGTCTCCGTGGTTTCTTGGGCGGAAGTTCCTCTTGTTGTATCTCCTGACCTGCTGTGACCTCGTCTTCATGCCCCACACCTGACAGTATGCGATGAAGTATCGTAGCCAAGCCGTCTGGTCTTGGTAAACATCTCCCGTCATCATCATTCACCTTAATGTAGGGTATGTTGTCATGCACCGATAGCGGAATCTTGTTCGCGTTCTGGTCGATGAGGTATGGCAATTGATTTGCCGGCCATATGAATGAGTACCCTTGTTCCATGCACCGTTTCCCGATGGAAAAGACTGATGGTGTGCTTTCCAACACGTGTGCCTCGGACCTCATGGGTAGTTCGTCCACATTGATGTCCACCATCTCTGATGTACTAGTTACACCATTCGCTGTCATGAAGCTCACGGATTTGGGTCCTTCCTTGGTGGTAAGGCCCATGGCATTGACTTTCTCTCTTGAGATCAAATCGTGTCCACATCCCGTGTCCATGATGAAGCGTATTGGTGGTCCATCATACCTCTCCACAGCCATGAACATCGTGGTTCCTGGTATCGTGTAGTCGACAAAATCCTTCCTTACTACCTCTCTGGTGTTGAAATCAGACAGGTCGACGTTCACCTCGATTCCTTCATCTTGAGTGATTTGTATCCATGCCTTGGCAATGTGTTCAGCATAGAATAGCTCCATCATCTTACCTTTGGCATGTGCTACTCGTGCAGCTATATTGCTCACTCTGAGGGCTCTCAACGACGAAATGAGCTCGGTATCCACCTTCTGCACCTCATTCTTCTTCTTCCTGAGGGGACGGATGTTTAGCTCGTTACCAGGATCGCAGGTGAACGTGGTCACATTCGCCTGGTCATCGAATCTGACTTTAAAGCGAAGCGCCAGCTCACCTTGTTGTACGTTGGGAAGTGCGGGTTGTACGTCCTCGTCATCACTCTCGATGTCTCCGCAAAGCATGAAGGCTGGCGCAGCCGGTTTGGGCTTGGCTTTGCCTTTAGCCTCTTGTTTTGTAGCAGGAGCAGCGTGATGCTGACGTCGACATTTGTCCCCGAACTTGCACGATCCTTTCTGCCAATTCCAACAGACCTGATCCTTCATTGGCTTAGGGCTACTGCTCCTGCCACCAGGACTCTTTGATCTGTCACCCTTGAGGCTTTCCTGGTTTCTTAGCAGAACTCTTGTGCTTCTCTTGGTGACTAAACTTGCATTTGTCTCCTCTAGAACATCCGTTTTTCCCATGGAAGTGGAAAGCGCATCCTATCTTGGACGTATCTGCTGGAGTCGCTGACCTGCCACGATCCCCTTTTGGGCTCTTCGTGGCTGATCTTCCACGATCCTGCTTCTTGTCCTTCTTGTTGTGGTCCTTCGGATTAGCCTGAGGAAGTACTGGAGCGGCGTCATGTTTCGGTGGATCGGCCTTGGTATTCTTGGGTTTCGCTTTAGGGTCCTTCTTCTCCGCCGCTGGTGTGGCTTTCACGATGTTCCCAAAAGCTTTTTCCCTTTCTTTCTTGTTTGTGGTCTCGATTGATTTCCGTATCCACTTCGTCATGATCTCTCGTAACTTCTGGTAGGTCTTATCCGGATCCTTATCCAACATGTTGTCGTACACAGACAAGTCTAACGCCATAACTTTGGAATCCTTAATCTTATCCCAAAGCAGGTTGCGAAGTGCTTTGTCAGGAAGCATGTCATCCGCATCCATACCTGATATGATCTCATCCCACTGTCCAAGGAATCTGGATAGTTGATTATCCCCAGGGAACTTTAGATCGAATAAGTGCTTGGATGCATACATCACATCAACGTTGTCGGCACTCCGGAAACTATCGACGATCAACGCTAACATTTCTCGTCCCTTGACCATTCCAGGAGTTGTGCCTCTCGCACGTCTCTGCATCATCTGCCTCACCTTCAGTTGTACGTCATGAGATCTCACACCTGCTGCGTGGATAATCGTGTGTAGGGTGATACCTAGCTTAGCGTCTATGCTAGCGAATCTTGCTTCGCCTGATGTCTCGAGTAGAAATGGGTCATATGGTGATCTGAAGGCATCCGAGAGCCATTGGATCCAGTCTTCTTGTTTCTCGTCGCCCGATGCCGTCACGACTGCCGCTACAACCTGGGATTTCCAAACCTCCAGGTCGTGTATCTTGGGCCATGCAGGGATGTTGATCTTCTCGTGTTCCTTCCGAGATATCTTGGAGCCACCTGAGCTAGAGGATGAAGCGGCACCATGTTCGGTTGCGGCTGCGTTCTCTGCACTTGTGCGCTCCTCTTCGTACCTCTTCCGGTACTTATTCCTCTCATCTCTGAGCCGTGATGCATGCGCTTCGAATTCCATCATGTCCTGTTGGTTCTGCATCATACCTTCGTAGTACTCAATTGCCTCTTTCTCCTCGGACCTTAATAACTTTTCAGTACGTTCAAGTTCCGCTCTAAGCTTGGTCATCATCTCATTCTCCACACTGGGTTCTGATCCCATGTCTGGTGGTTTCAACTTCAGTGCGACCTTCAATTGTGCTTCACTTGCGCTTGATTCAATCAATTCTTCCTGAAGACGTTTCAGCATCCTCTCTTTACGTAGAATGTCCTCTTCCAACATGTTCACCTTGACTTCGGCCTTCTTAAGTTCGGCGCTGGATGGTTGAAACGGTCGATCGGATCCTTGAATCCTCGTCTGAGTCAACTCCTCGTTCGCCTTCTTCAATTGCTCTCTGATGCTCAAGATGAACTTGTCCTGAGTATTAGATCGGTTGTTGAGCTCCTCATTCTCTTCTGATAACCATTTGATCTTGCTTGCATACATTGCTTCCCTCATCTTCATCTCTTCAGCATATTCGTGTTTGTTTCTGGCACTCTGCCTTTGTAGTCCAACTAACTCCTGTCTACACAGATCCTTGACGTTCTCAGCATCTGCGATTGTAGTCATGACCTCGGTTACGGCTCGATCTCTTTCTGCCGATATAGCCTGGATCTCTTCCGTGCCGATGTTCACAACTTGACTAACCATCTCTGCGCTGTTGCGATCAGCGTACTCCCCTAACTGGGTGAGACGATCCCGCATTGCCACACGATCAGTGTCCATCTGGTATTGCAGGTCGTGTGCTGCTGAGAGCAAACAGTCTCTGGATTCTGTAAGTTGGGTGATTCTTCGTTGATTTCCGTATCCTTCGACATAACATTCTTCAAGGTGTGCCATCACTACTTCGTGGACTTCGGTCTCGTGTTGTATAATCTGGTTCTGTCTCTGCTCACATTCGACCATCCATGCGTTTTGGTGGTTCAACATATGCACTTCGGCAAGTAGTTGCGCACACTTCGCATTCAGGTCTCCATCGGCCCGTGCTAGTTGTAGGTTGTCAGTGCTTGCCCTTGCTCGATCTCCAGCTTCGCTGTCCGACGGCACTGGCACAGCTGACCCATCCTGCAATGCTAACGCTCTCACAGCTCCGGTGTCAGTCCTCCTCCTCGTCTCCCTAGGGCTACGGCCTGATCTCGGTGTCCCCCACGGTGGTGTCGAGTGCGCTGACGGGGAACGACTTCGTGCTCTACCTGTCGCAACTTCTCTCACCACTGTCAGAGTCTCCGCTTCGATCGTACCTGGACTAGAGTTGTGGGATGCACTCATCCGATCTGCGGCCGCAGCAGCTGCTCCAAAAGATGCAGTGCTGGCGTCGGATTGGTCCATCTTCAGTGACTGAGGGTAACTGATCTATCCGATGCGTGTGCGTTTAGATGGTGTTGTGTAAGGCCGCAGCTCGTACCCAGCTCAAAGGAGTCTGGATACGGCTGATAACCTGCGAACGGATGGAAAGGTGTGCCCTGGCCCCGTTCTAGCTCTTAGGTCAACATGAAGCTCGCGCGCTAAAGCTCCTTTTTACCTGGTTGGGCACTTGAGCCAAAAGTATATGGCATGTACCTGTATAGCGACTATACTGGGACCCCATCCCTATTGACATAATATATACACACCATATTTTGTAATGTATGAGCGCATGCTTGTGGATAGCTCCGCTGGGTTCCAGCTGCTCCGCAAGGCCAGCAAGTCCGTCGATCCCCGATCCCATCAGGTCAGAAGCATTCTTGACGCACCGAGCCAACCGATTAACACTCCGATAGGGAGTTCACCACTGGAGCCTTCCAACACCAGGCAGCTGATTTCTGAGATCCCAGCATGATTGTCAGGTACCCTTGGTCCAAACACAGGTCATTTTGAGCAACAATCATGAATCCAACGTGGCCCAGAAGACCTCAAGGATCCTCTCCGCCACCCCAGGTGTTGGGACATGTCGCTCTAAGGGATCGCTCCCGGAGAACCTGTCGGCCCCCCTCGAGGCGAAACGGTGAACCACTTTGCTGCTCAGTGGCTCGCGGTGGTGGCGGCGGGGCAAAGCTGCCAAAGCCACAGCCTTCGAAGCCCCAGTGGACTGACGGTGATGGTCTTTTCGCGTTTGAAACGGCCTTTACTTCATAAATTATCATGCTTGCTCAAGCGTGGATGACCCAGGTTTGGGGTGGCTTTTAGTCTTAAGCCAGTCGACAACTTTGCTAGCGACTGGTCTGCTAGCAACGCCTTCAAGGCAAATGTTTCACTGATAGAATGAATCAATTCCTAATGACTTTTAGATGATTTCCAAAGCGTTTCCAGAACTTTCGTCACTTGTCATCTTATGACATTCCCTGTCCAATGTCCTGTTTGTCCTGTTCCCCCGCAGTTCTGGCCTCCACCCGATGGCCCGCAAGGCCCTCCGCATCCGCCGCAAGGGCCGCAACCGCCCCCACCTGGACCACCAGGGCCAGGACCACCAGGGCCACCTGGTCCACAGCCGCATCCGCCACAAGGCCCAGGGCCACAGCCACAGCCGCCACAGGGTCCTGGACCGCCAGGGCCAGGGCCACAGCCACCAGGTCCGCCACAGCCAGGGCCACAGCCAGGACCACAACCGCCACAGCCAGGGCCACAGCCACCACATCCAGATGGACCAGATGGACCGCTGGAGGAGCCACAGGGACCGGAGGGAGGCAAGGCTCTCATGGGGCTGCGGCTTTTGGAGCGTTCCCGCTCTTTCCTGGTGGCCACACCAGGGGAAGGCATGGAGAATGGGATGAGTCAAGTGCTTCCAACTCTCATGACACTTTGTAGGACTCTCTTGTCCAATGTGCCTGGTCGGCTTCTTGTTGGGTGTGGTCGACTCTAGGACTGACAAAGCTTCCAAGCTACTTACAGTAAGCCTGCAGCTCGGCACAACCTCAAGTGAGACCCTTTTCGGATGAGTGGAGGGTGCAACCCTTGCAAAGCATGGTCCAAAGACTTAGAGATTGAGACCAGTTAAACAAAAGCTTGGACATGGTTGGACCATATCCTACCACAAAAACGAAGCTAGGAAGCTAGGCAGAAGCAGCGGAGTTCACTTCTTGCGCAGTGTCTGCGCACCATGTTGAACCAATAATTTCCAGGCCCATCAGCAGCCTCTTTCACGAAATGCCCACGCCCCCGGCCTGCCGCTGGTTCCGCCAGAGCCACCTTTGTCGCCCAGAGAGTGGCTGGAGGACCCCACAGCAACATCCTAATCTTCGCCGATCCGGCAAAACAAATCCTTGGGACATGAGGGCGGGAGGAGCAAAGGTTTGAGTTTCTCTGGGGTTTGACAAGTCTTAAGAGCTTGTTCTATGGCGAGTGCTTAAAGCAACAAGCTTCACGCCCATCTTCACCCCAGAAGTTCTGTGCCTCCACCTCCGCAGTTGCCACCGCAGCCGGTGCCTGGTCCGGTGCAGCCGCTGGATCCTCCACAGGCGTTGCCGCCGCAGGCGTTACCGCAGCCCATGCCGCCGCCCATGCCACAACCCATGCCGCCGCCCATCATCATGGGATTCATCATTCCCATCATGCCCATCATGGGGTTCATATTTCCTCGGGATGTCACGCGTTCCACGCGGTTGATTGCTCAGTGCTACCAGTGCGAGTGGCCACTAAGTGAGAGGAGGGCCGCGTTTCAAGCTCATAGGCTGACTGCCATATCGCTGCAGGTTGCTATCCAAGTTGGGGAGCTGTACGGAGCTGTGCACACTTGTGAGCTTAAACATGTTTAAAGCCTCCATCCTTACCAAACTCTCAAAGAAGTCCATTGGGGGCAAAGCCCTTCATCCTGGTCGTCCTGGTCGTGGGTGATGACACCTCGGGTCGGGCTTGACCTCGGGCGCTCCGCCTCAGTGCCTGACCCCCAAAACGGTCGCTCCGCCTCGGATCGGCTCGACCAAAAGCGCCAGGATTCCCATCATCTGCATCATCATCGAGGGGTCGATGCCCATCTGCTTGAACATGCCTTCCATCTGCTTGGGGTCCATGCCCATTTGCTTCATCACCGCCTGTTCCCGGTCGGTCTTGTGGCTTGGACGTTGGTGGTCCCACTACCACCTGTGTCACGAAACACCAGGGCAAGGGCCGCAAGGGTATGCAGCTATGCAGCATATTCCACACGCTGATGCTTGGTACTCATGTGCAACCTCGATGGGATGCCATAACTTAAATAGGGTCAAAGTCAAGTTTTTTTTGTATAGTATATAGGCTCTCCAGAAGATACAGTACAATGACCTTATATACTACCTACAACTTACATAGTCATATGAGTACCGCTTACAGTAATAACTATGCTCTCTATATGCCGCCTCTAAAATATACTCCATCATAGAGGACGATGGAACAGTCTGACAGCCCTATCTTCCACAGCCTGAAAGCCTGTTCGAGATGGATCTGACAGCCGAGCTGCTGGATCCATTCCCATCTGTTTCATCAACTTTTCCATGGGGCCTCGAGTGCTGAAGCTCGGTGAGTCCAACATATATAGCCAGTGCTGCTCCGACCGGTGGTTCCCGTTTTTTTTTGCGCCCATCATTTGCAACACATGTGAAACTGGTGGAGACGCGTTTCGGCGAGTCTCTTCGACCACCAGTTTTCATGTCAGCTTCTTGATTTTCTTGTGAGGGTATTTCTGAGGATTCTTCCAATTTTGAAACATGATGGCCAAGTTTCCGAGTGGTGGCCACCCCCCCAAACACATCAGGTCATGGCTGAATCAGTTGATTCATCCAAGCTCCTGAACATCACTGGTTTGTGGTTCAACTCACTTGAGCAATAAGCAATAATCAATAAAGTCATTGGGTTCAATCATCCCAATCCCAAGTAATTAAGGGCTGATAAGAAACATGTATGAAACCACCTAGATCACTGTGGTTTGATAATGAGCCGATAGCCGCAGCCAGGCTCCCAACACACTCCCACTCCTTGGTTTCATTGTCGAGAGTGTCTCTCAAAGCCCCGAGGGTGGGACTGGCAGGTGGCCTCGCTTCTTCCGTCTCATCGGTTGCACGGTGCTACTAGGAGCAAGGATGCTACCAGGGACTCCTGGCCTTACTACTAGGAACAAGAAGCTACTAGGGGCTCCTCCGCCCGAGGCCCCGCTCCAACCGGGTGACTCTTGCTCTTCTTCTCGCCGCCTCCGCCCTCCTTGTCGCCATCCTGACCAAAAAGGCACATGAAACAGGCGGAGGGGCCCGGGCAGGTCACCACCCTTGCAAATGTTCCCTCAGGATCGCTCCAAGCTAAGCCAAGTGTGGACCAACCATCACATCCCAAGGTGGTTCCACGGAGCAAAAGGAGATCGCGGTGCATGATGGTTCATGGGAAGTTCGGACCACCCCAGGACATGGCCTTTATCCCAGCTTTCCTCATTTCAGGGGTCTTGTATCTTGAAACGCACCCAAGCCTTGTCGCTGAGTTCGGTCTCACAGTGCCCCCCCCCAAAAAAAGACACGACCCCCCAAAAGGCGCTGTATGTGCTAAGGCTAAGGCCACACATTGTGACATGCAAATACACATTGAACATAGTATCGATCTGAACACCAGGGAATGGACGGAGCAAAATACCAACAGTTGATGAAACACATCATCCTTCAGCGCCACTCTGGAGAGTTCCCAGTGGTGCACCACTCTGGCCATCTCCACAACATGAGGCCATCGATCTGCCCCGACCTTCTGCATCTCTCCAAGCTTAGAGGCCATCGCAAGGTATTGCCTGGGCGGAACAGACTGGAATCACCACCAAGGAGCCTCTTCAATGGGCCAAAACGCGTGCAAAGGAGCAGATTGGATGAAATCTGATTGGCGAAAGCCAGGCAAACAACGAGGCCATATGAGGCCACAAATTCATGCAAGAAGAAGGCATTGAAACAACACATCTCAGCCTGTGTGTTCGGTGCTTTCAGCCTCTTGTGGAACTCAGCCTGTACGATGGCAGAGTTTCCATTCAGAGTTCCACATCTCATCACACCTCTACATGACTGAGTCGTCCATCAACGACTCAGTCGTCCACCCAGGGACTTGGCGATTCTTCCCGCAGATTCCGTCCATCACGTTGAAAAAACGAGGCGCGCCACAGTCCTCCCTCCAAAGGATGTACTTGCGTCAACTGTATATGCATTAAATCATGCAAATGATGATGCACTCGAACTAACATGGAAGTGGACAATGGCCTCTTGGAAGACCATTTTCCTCTACAAACAGGGTGTTTTCCACTTCCATGTTAGTGAGTCGGAGTGTATAATATGTGCATTCTCCAGCAGCCAGGGGGTGCCCTCACCCCACTGCTTATGCTGAATATTGCCAACGAAACCGGGCCACATGATTGTCGGTTCGGTTGTCGAGGTGGTTTTTCAGGCTCCCGCTGTTGCACATCTGTGGTTTTGTTGGGGTCCAAGGTCCAACGTTCTCCAAGTGGCTCAGACCACTTCTCGGACCACTCCTCTCCTTGAGGCTCTGCCTCTTCCCTGTGGAGCGGCAGTGTGGTGTGGGGTATATTGGTGCCAAAGCCATCCCAAACGAACCTAGTACCCATCCAAAACAGGAATGTGAGTGGAAGGCAGCCCAGGGGGGGCAAATATGCGAGAATCTCAAGGTATGAACATCCACATCACCTCCTTTATCTACGTGAAAGTGCAACCAAACCCTGTTGGTCTTCATCAAAAAGTGGCTCTCAAGTCGGAGCATAAATCATATGAAACCAACTCAGGGTGAATTGTCAACACACTAGCCTACTCAACTGTATCATATCCCTTGTTTCAGGCGGATGGGTTTCTTCGGGTTTCTTTCAGGATCCTGACAAGCAGAAAGGCTTTGTCCAGTGAAACCAGGTTGGCAGGTCACAACTCTATATTATTTGCTCCTTCATGACCTTTTTCCCCCTTGCTCTTGGCTGCAGCTATCTCAGTCTTTACATCTGATTTGACTTGTCCGAATCATGGCGTATATCTTTGACTTCTTCATGCTGTTTCCCCCCGGTCCTCCTTCCCGGCGCTCCCTGCAGTCGCTCCCGTCGGACAACATGTTCTCCGCTTTCTCCGCTCCGTGCCGAGGCGCTCAGGCTCCTCAGCCTTCTGCAAGGAGCTCGTGAGCCCCGCCGATGCAGCGACCCCGTCGTGGCGCTTCACCTCTGTGGTTGGTGACCAACCAGAGGCCACAAATGCCCGCGACCATCCGGTATAAACGGTACATATATGATGCTCATAAAGATAAACGACTGATTATGTACAGTATGTATATATATTTATACTATATACATATAATAGATTACAATATATTGCAAACAGTAATCATACAATGTATACACTTTTAACTGTATTGTGTTGTAATATATATTCATGATATGTATGTGGCTCTAGTTGTCTCCGCCTGACTGCCATCGTCAAGGCGGTACACTCCCTGAAGAAATCACGGAAGCACCTGTTTGTAGAGGAACATTGTCTGTTTGTAGAGGAACATCTGTCATTGTTCACCTTCCATGTTAGTTCCGGGGAGTGTATACAGATGTATATAGTAAAGACATGTATACAAAGAGAACGTTTCCGGGCCTCGACCCACTTGTTGTCGATCATGTGCTTCGCGTGGGCATCAATGACCTTCTCGACCGCCTGGACCAAAGATGACCAAAGAGCAGTCGAAGACTCATGTCTCTGGCAAACGAAAGACGGTGGATATCGGTTGCCCACATACCCAACTCCCTCCCTGAGAAAGCGACACATGTTCTTTTTTTGGCAGGTGGAGGTGAGATTGGGGGTGTTTGGGTGGCTGCAACATCGCATCCGGGCTTCTTGACATTTCTTGAATCTTTCCGTTATGCCCAACGAGAAGTTCGGCATCTTCCCTCCCGAAAGGCCCAACGGAGTCCCTGTCGGCCTCGGTGTCGGAGAACTTCACAAACGCAAAGCCTCGGGAGGTGCCATCAGGCAAGCGTTTGATGTCCACTTGCTCCACCTGGACGCGGTGGACGCGTGCGCATGACGGGTGTGATGATCGGTGACCGGATATGAGCCTATCCAGTTTTTCATTCTTTTTTTTGGGGGGGTTTGATATGAAAGGAGTCGAGATGACCTGGCGATGACCTGGCCGATCGAGAAACTTGGAAGATTGAGCATTTCTGGGACCTGGTGAGGACATGCGAGGACCCAAATGATGAGATCTGCTGCCTGATGGAGGTACCTGGGACAAATCCTGACCAAGTCAGGAATTCCAAAACCAGAAATGGATTTATATTATATTTTCGCTATTTTGCCATGTTGAAAGGATTACTATACTATGGATTACTTGTGTGAATGAGATCTCAGAATATCTTAGGCAAGATCAGTCAAGTATATCCCAACCATTCCAATCAATTCCAACACTTTGACTGTAGCCCTACCACTGCCCAGCCCATGCCTGCCCAAACTTGGCAAAGTGCGCAGTGACCTGACCGTGCGTTTTCCCCAAGCGACGTGCGCAGTTTTCCGTGCGGAAATCCGGGTGGCGGTTCCGCTCCACCCGACCCGTGGGGTGACCAGTGGAACAGCGAATCCCTTCCTCGTCGCCTTCCGGTGACCATCGGACACATGGGGCTCACGGCTCGGTAGCCCTTCGCGTCCTGGTGGCCCGAACTTCTGCGTTTGGGGGGCCCACACTCACACGATGAAGGCCCCAAATGGCCTGTCACCGAATCCGGTTGAGTCTCCAAGAATCGACTCGGTTTTTTGCCTGGAAGCCATGTACGCTCCAAATCAGCATGTTTATGTGGATGGCACCGGTTTGGTGGATCTCACCATCCGAACTTGGGGCCATGCCATCCACGGCCAGGCCCATATGATCATTCCACAACATGTATGCTGCCGATGTTGGGAGTGTTTCACTTGGCCCCACCACTTGAACAACCCAGCCATTCCCGATCTCAAAGGTCCCCACGGTGGGGACCTGCAAACTATGGCACTTTCTCCTCGCTCAAAACTACAGGAACCTCTCCAAGCCATGGGAGATGACCCCCGCAGATCTGTCAGATCGCTGCACAGATCTGTCAGCCGAGGTGCTCGATCCTCCTCGGTGGTCTTTCGCAAACCGCCCACGAAGATCACATTGGCGTTGTCCTTCGGCTTCTTCTTTGCCTGCCAGCCAGCTGATTTAGTTGGACCCCTATATAAGGTGAAGGGTTTTCTTTCCCAAGCCTGTGCATTGTGCCAGTTGCTGAACAAATACGTAATCTGATTGAAGCGCGCAGGGGGTGCATAGCGTTCGCTTCTCATCACTCCACACGGGTTCAGTACAAGTGGCACTGAGACTTGGAGCGTCTGCTGTTCGCTTCATAACGCCTTAAGGTGGCACTATTTGTGTTCACGTGCTCACAGTCAGACTTCTCACACGTGCTGTTCACTGACAGAATGTCCGTCACCACCGAACGCACCCGTGATGCCGTGATGCTTCACCGAATTGAAGTGCTAGGACACCAACATGTTCAAACGGACTGGCGGGGCTCCGGAGATTTTGATCGATGCCATACAGCCTGATCTGTACCTGATCTGCATGAGGATGACCGACAGTGGACTTCATTCGCTTTTGGACTTCCTGGCGCTCACACAGTGAGCCACTCTTTCGATGCCCCCCCGTCAGGCCCGTCAGGGCTCCGGGCAGCTTTCTCACCCTTCTCGGCTTTACTCTTCTTGGTTGAGCCGCCCATCATCCTCAGGATGAAGAAAGTGCCCCCCCCACTGCCCAAGTCCAGAAATTGAAACAGGCGAACCCCTTTTTGGTAGAGATACTTGCTCACGGCGTGGTGCAAGTGCGACAAAACACCACACCCATGCGACTCGTGTGACTTGTGACAAAATGGTTGGGGGCCCAGCGTGAAGTGCTCCGTTTCAAACCATTTGCTCTCATGGCCCCGAGTTGGTGCCCCCATGAACCACTTGCAGCTAAAGCTCTGGTTCATCATCTCTTGCATCTTTTTCCTCAGCGGAACCACCGGTCGCGCCGGGACCGTCCTCGCGGCCGTCCCGGGACCGGCGCTTCCCGCTACATGACCCTTGTGGATCCATTTCGGCTTTTCCCCAGCCAGCGAGAACTGTTGGTGTTCTTACTTCAAGTATAGGAAGAGGTGCGCACTGGTGGTGCGCTTTGGAGCTTGGCAAGTAGAATTGACACATTATCAAGCACGCTTTCTTCAGGGTGGGGCACATTGGCGCCCTGCTTACCGCAAAGCATGGTCCTGGAACATGTCCAGGTTGGAGCTGGGGATTTTCCCAAAAAGCACCATCCCTAAACCATGAAACACCCAAAGGCCTGCTTCTTCTCCAAGATCCGAGTCTTTTTCCCTACATGTCAGTTGTGACCACCTAATTCCAACAAAACCCGTTGCCATTTGGCGCCATGCTGCATGTCGCCACCGCCCATCATCATATTCTGCATCATCTGCTGCCTAGGATAGGTAGGATGACAAATATGCTGTGACCAGCTTCACCGGAATCTTATGTGGAAATGATGACTGTGCCACGAGCAGGGTGGGCGTGTATGAATGACTGCTTGGCAGGTGAGTGTTCCATGGTTTGTCCTCTCAGCACCCCACTCCGCCCACTCCACACAAATAGCAACAGGTGCTGGGAACAACTGCTTCAGTCACTGGAGGATGGTGAAAAGCGGAAGCGCTACGTGCGGTACTGCTCGCCCGACCCTCTGGAAGATTGGTTGTGTCAAATCCTAAGGATTGAAAAACTCACTCTCGACTCTGGCTTGCAAAGAAGCGACTGCATCATCATTTGCTGTTGCATCATCCTTGGCAAGGGCGCTCAACCAAAGTCTGAAGTGAACACAGTTCTTCAATGACCCTGTGCAGGTGTCAATGGCAAACAATTAGCAGTGGCATTACATAATATCCATAAATACATATAATTATATACATATACACAGTATACACACAGTTTTTACATATATATATATATTATATATAGATACATATGACAGATACTCATCTGTCATTCATCCATTAAAATCAAAACAAGAATAGAACAAAGGAACACACGGCCTAGCATCAAAGAAACTGTGTTCACCCAAAGCCTGCGAGAATGCACAGATTGGACAAAAACATGAATACAGTAGAGGAATTTTGCTCAACCACTGTCACCCACCTCGCATTCGAGCAATCATCCCTTGAATTGCTGAACCTCTTGTGATCATGGCCAGCTAAAACTCCCTGTGCCACATCTAGTTACCACCCCTTCTTCTGTCCCACAGCCCCAAAAAACACATGGCCAAGCTTCGGCATAGCGCCGCAGCCGCCCATTCCGCCACAGCCGCCCATGCCGCCGCCCATTCCGCCGCAGCCGCCACAGCCCATCGGCCTGGGGCAGCCCATGCCTGCGCAGCTCTGGGCTATGTGGAAAAATCCCTGGCTCATGGCATGGCCAATCGTGACAGAATCGTGTCACGCTCCAGTACATTTGAAAAAGCACCTGGCCTGGTTCCGCTTTGTGAGAATTGGCAGAACATCTGCCACAACTCTCTTCCTATGACTTCCTAAGCTCAGCCTCCTTCTTTCCCACATCCTTCAGCCGAACGTACGCCGCACGCGCCGGCCATGTGGTCTCTTTTCTGCGCGTTCGTTCCACCGCAGAAAAGGCATTCACAGGCAGCTCGGTGTAGCATCGAACTAGCCATGACAGGCCGCAACCTTTTGGAACTACTGAAGGAACAAAAACGGTCGCTGGGGTGAGGAACCCCGCAGTATTGGCGTCGCTTTGCTGGTCGTTTCGCTCGTACATGTTTTCCATTGCACGAACCTCCAAATCTTGCTTCGTACGTGCATATCTTGCATATTACCCGAGCTGGTTTTGAGGGTCTGCAGTAAACATAAAAGAACCCACAGCCTTTGCCACACAACGGTGCCCCTTCCCCAGCAGGCATGGACATGATCCTATATATATATGTGGATATTATATATATGTGGACCGTACAGTATTATATATATTATGTACTTGAGGCCAAGGGGGGGG